CCCCCCAACCGACCATACCCGCAACCCCCCATCTGCAGCGACATCGGCGGCTGCAAGGAGCAAATCGACCGCATGCGGGAGGTGGTGGAGATCCCCATGCTCCACCCCGAGAAGTTTGTGGCACTCGGGATCGACCCGCCCAAGGGCGTGCTCTGCTATGGGCCCCCTGGCACAGGTGCCGAGGCGGGATTGTTCCTTGTATCTAGAGGGAGGGCGAATACTCAATCTAGGAGACGGGAGGAAGGTGCTGCAAGAGGCTTGCAGTGTTAGGAAATGTGGCTTGGAGCGCCACTCGACCAATAAGCACCACTCCAGATCGTATGCCCCTCCCGAGCATGACTCATTCCCAAGGCCCATCCTCCTTTTGCCTCGCAGGCAAGACGCTGCTGGCTCGGGCGGTGGCCAACCGCACCGACGCCTGCTTCATCCGAGTCATCGGGTCCGAGCTGGTGCAGAAGTACGTCGGCGAGGGCGCCCGCATGGTGAGTCGAACAGAATGGGGGTTGGGAGAGCGCCCTGGCAGAAGCTCATGGTGTTGGTTTCACCGGCCGACTCTTGCAGGCATCTGCACACAGGGGTGCTCACAACAGGCGCTTACTTCCTGCAGTGCATTCCCTTTGGGCACCCTGACTCCCGTGCTGCCCTGGCTGGTTGGAGCTTTGGCGCCCATTCCCATCCCTCACCAAAACCCTCCCCCACACCTGCCTCGAAACACGATCAGGTGCGCGAGCTGTTCCAGATGGCGCGCAGCAAGAAGGCGTGCATCATCTTCTTCGACGAGGTGGACGCCATCGGCGGCGCGCGCTTTGAGGACGGCGCAGGCGGCGACAACGAGGTCCAGCGGACCATGCTGGAGATCGTCAACCAGCTGGACGGCTTCGACGCGCGGGGGAACATCAAGGTGCTCATGGCCACCAACAGGCCCGACACCCTGGACCCGGCCCTGCTGCGACCTGGGCGCCTGGACCGCAAGGTGGAGTTTGGCCTGCCGGACCTGGAGTCCCGCAGCCAGATCTTCCGCATCCACACCCGTGCCATGAGCGTCGAGCGCGACATCCGGTGGGTTTGGAGTCATGTGGTCGTGGCGTGGGGGAGCGCAGGGGGCGGGGAATGTCTGGAGGGAACCGGAGGGTCCTTCTGGAGGGAACGGAGGGTCTTTCTGGAGGGAGCGGAGGGTCTTTCGTCGGGCCAGAAGATGGGTGGCGACCCTGCGCTGCGCAAGGGGCAGCCCTCTCATCCAGACCGCTCTGTTGAACCTCTCCTCGCTCCCCACTCGACATCGACAGGTGGGAGCTGCTGGCGCGGCTGTGCCCCAACTCCACGGGCGCCGACATTCGCTCCGTCTGCACAGAGGCGGGGATGTATGCCATCCGCTCGCGGCGCAAGACGGTGACGGAGAAGGACTTCCTGGACGCCGTGAACAAGGTCATCAAGGGCTACCAGAAGTTCTCGGCCACGCCCTCCTACATGGTCTACAACTGAGCGGGGTGGTTTGTTCGGGAGGAGGGGTGGCGGGGAGCGGGTCCGGGAGGCCTCGGACGCTGCCCGGCCGGCGCCGGAGCATGCACTCCCGCTGGCATTGGGCTTGTGTGTGCGGCGCTGCCCCTTTCCCTCCTCACCCCTGGTCCTCAGCGATTTGTAACATGGGTCGCATGGCACATTGGCAAGGGACAGCAGCAGCAGCAGGGGGGAGGGGGACTAGACCCCGGGAAGGTACGCTGACTTCCCCCATCTTCCCTCAGGAGAACCAAAGTCGAGAGCAGGAGCTCGCTCCCCCTGCGCATCAGATGAACACGTCCAACTCGGCGCGGGCGTAGGTGTTGATGCCCTCGTCCTCCATGCGCGGGTAGAAGGCGGTGAGGGCGTCCTGGGACCCGATGTACAGGTTGTTGTAGTGCCGCCAGTACACCTCCCGCACCTTGCGCGCCGGGTGGAACAGGCCCTGTCGGGGTGGTCGGTTTCGGGTGTGTTTGCCTGGGATCTGGATTGTGTCACTGCGATCGTTCTCCGACACATCAACCTGCAGCGGCTCTGCGGCCAGCCAGCAGGCCTGCGACATCCCCGGCCCGGTCCACCCCGGCACCCCGCCCCGCCCACACCTGGAGGAGGAAGTTGAGGATGGTGGCGGGCCCCAGGGCGCAGCGGCAGCCGTCGATGGCCCCGGTCACGGCCTGGACGATGTGTGGCGAGGTCTCAAACACGTTGGGCCAGACCAGGTTGAGGAGGTGGAGCAGCGCGTCTTCGCACCCCAGCCCCGTCACCCCCAGGCTCATGTGCTGGATGACAAAGGCCGCGGTCTGGCGGTGCACCAGGTCGCGGTCGGTCAGCGCGTCCTCCAGCAGGGGCGTCACGGCGTAGATGTAGTCCTTGCCCATCTCCCCGATGTACTCGAACAGGAAGCTCAGGCTCTTCAGCACCCCATTCTGCACGTTCAGCTCCGGCACGCGGTACTCGTTCATCAGCGCGGGCAGCACGGTGAAGGGCGCGCAGGTCTCCGCCACGATAGCGATGGCCACGGTGGTGCAGACGCGGGACTGCCGCTCCTGCACCTTGAGGTTGTTCAGCAGCGTGACCAGCACGTCCTGGGGCCCGATGGCCTTGGCGATGTAGCCAAACGTGTTGACCGCCGCGCGGCGGATGGCCTTCTTGAACGCCTGGCAGGGTTGGTGGGTGGGTGGGTGGGTCGAGGTGGGTGGGGGGTGGGGGGTGGGGGGTTTTAGAGGAACTGCTTTTCCGTGATTTGATCATGAGACACGGACCCGACCCGGCAGGTCCTGCCCTCTATTCTCGAGCCCTCGCAAGCTGAATCACCCTGGACCCCCTCCCCGGACCCCTGCAAGTCTTCCCCCCAACCCCCCACCCACCCAACACACACACTCAACCCACCCTGAGCATGTCGAGGAGCTCGAAGCAGATGCGCATCCACTCGCGGGCGGGGACGAACTCTGCGCCGCGGTCGGCGATGCGCCCCACCAGGTCGATGCAGTTCTCCTGCACCTTCTCGTGCCGGTTCTTCAGGATGGGGGTCAGGCGCGGGAGCAGGTCCTTGATGGGCGGCGTCATGCGCGTCATGCCGATGACGTTGACGATGGCCTTGAGCGCGCCCAGCACCGACCCCAGCACGTCGGGGTACTCCTCCCCCAGGTTCTCGTACAGCACCACGCCCAGGTGGGCCAGCAGGCCCTCCTGGTCGCAGCGCTTCATGACGGGCGCGCAGCGCGCGATCAGGTCGGCGGCCTGCTGCCGGATCTTGGCCGACTTGTTGTTCAGCCGCCATTTGATCACGCCCGCGATCTGGGGCAGGTAGGGCTTGGCACGGGTGCCCAGCGCATTCACCACCGTGCCGAAGCCGTTGAGGACCACGGGGCTCTCGTCAGCCACCTGCGGGAGGTGTTGGTGTTTGGTGTGTGGGTCGACTGGACCATGTGTGTCTGAAGACTTGTGTGGGACGGTCAGGGGCAGGTGCGCGCTGTACAATGCCCCGGGCCCCTCTTTTGTGTTCTGTCCTCTGTGCCCAGCGCTCCAGGTCACACCACCACCCACTGTGCCCCCACCATCCCCCATTACCCCCCCCCTAGACGCCCATACCCCCACCCCCCACACCTGTTCCTGGAAGGCGTAGAGCACGCCGTCAAAGAGCTGCTCCTCCAGGGCTGCGCCGATGTCGGCGGTGCCCAGGGACGCGATCACCTTGTCCACCGTCTCCATCACCATCTTCCGGTACGGCTCCGACTCGTCCTTCAGGTCCTCCACCACCCGCCCCACTATCTCCGCGCAGCCCACGCGCTCCGCAATGGCCACCGTGGTCTCCACCAGCACGCGGTAGTTGCGGCGGTCCAGGGCCATGCGCCGCACCCAAAAGTGCTTGAAGAACTCCGGCAGCACCTCGGTGCGGATGTAGTCGGGCTCCACGCCCTCGGTCGCCACGCACTGCTTGACCACGCGCAGCACGATCTTCTTCATCTCCTCGTCGGGCGTGGCGAACTCGCGGAGCAGCACCACCATCACCTCCCGCGTGTAGTAGTTGGCGTACATGGCGTCCATGAGGGGGATGATGAAGCCGATGGCCTTGAGGTAGGCTGCCAGCACCTTGCCGCGCAGCAGGCGGATGCCCTTCCACAGCGGCTCCAGCACATCGTCGAAGGACTCGATGCCGTAGGGCGCGGCCGCCTCCGCCAGCGCGGAGACGGTGAGCGCGGTGATGGTCTTCACCTTCTGGTTCTCGTCGGCCAGCCCGCCCTTGACGATGTCCACCAGGGCGCGCAGGTGGGGCAGTACAGCGCAGCCCATGAGGATGCTGATCTGCTGCACGATCTTGATGCCCGTGTGCCGCGCCTGCCACGACTTCTTGCCTGGGAGGGAGGGTGATTTTGTGTGTGTGAAGGGGGGGGTGGATTCAAGAGGTGCAGGGTGCGTATTCAAAGACGTGGGGCACACCGGGTTGTAAAGGTGCGAGGGGGATGGTCCTCTCGAATGGCAGGCAAGGAATGCGCACAGGGCGGCCGCACTGCTCCTGCATCCCTTCAACCATTGAGTGGCCCGACTTGGGGGGGGGGGGTCTCAATAAAAAAATCAATAACCCCATGCCAACTCCCTCAAATTTCCTCACTCTGGCAGACAGCCTTCAAGAAAGGCAACAGCGTGGGTATCCCCAGGGCGCTGGCGACGACGGAGAAGGCGCGGGCGGTGGTGTTGCGCACGTACTCGTCCACGTTGTCGATGTCGGGGCGCATGGCGGCGATCATGGAGGCCAGCCCCGCAGCTTTGGCCAGGTTGGCGATGATCTCGCGCCCCTCCACGCGCGCGTAGTAGTCCTCGTCGATCAGAAGCGGCTCGATGACCACCAGGATCTTGTGCACAAAGGGGCGCACCAGGTCGTCCAGCTTGAACAGCACGCGGTCGATGACTTTGACCAGCAGGTGGCGCTCCTGGTCCTCCAGCGTGGGCGACATGAGCAGGGGCAGGATCTGGTTGAACAGCGCGCCCGCGCCAAAGTCGCGCGCCTTGTCGGTCAGCGCCCGCAGCGCCGACTTGCGCTGCGGCGGCGTCCCGTTCTTGACCTTGAGCAGGAGCTTCATGATGCGCCGCTCCTTGGCCTCCTCCACGCTCAGCTCGCCGTCGTCCACCTCCTGCAGCAGCTTGCCAAAGTACTGCTGGTCCTCGGGCTTGAGGTCGGGCAGGCCCTCCAGGGCGATGGGCACGTCAAAGGCCTGGCCCCGGTCCTCCTCGGGGATGCCATAGAGCGGGGTGCCGCCGTAGGGCGTGGGTGTCGCCGCCAGCTTGCGCGCCGGGGTCCGGATAGGCTCGTACCCGGGCGGCGCCTCCAGCACACGGTACCCGTCGCCAGCGCCGGGCAGCAGCGCGTCCAGGTCGGCGTCGCTCAGCGGGCGGTTGCGCGCCTCCGTCTCGCGCTCCACCTTGAGCGCGTGGTACAGCTCCGGGGTCATTGGCACGCCCGCGCCCGCCCCGGGCGCCCCCTCCCCGCCCCAGGCGGGCGTCTCCAGCCCCGCCGCGCCAAGGGGGGTGGCGCCCGTGCCGTAGCCGGGGGTGGCGCCGTAGGCGGGTGTAACCCCGCCCGCCACCGCGGCGGGCGTGGCGTCCCACCGGCTGCGCTTCCCTCCCGCCGCCTCGTCGGCGGGCGTGGCATCCCAGCGATTGCGCCGTGCGCCCGCGCCGGGAGTGGCCTCGCCCGCGTCCCACTTGGACGCGCCGGGCGCCGGGGTAGCGCCCCACGCGTCCGCCGGCGCGCTGGGCGTCGCCTCCACCGCGTCCCACTTGGACGCGGCGGGTCGCGCGGCGGCGTCGCCCGCGTCCCACCGGCTGCGCTTGCCCGCGCTGGACGCCGGCGCGGTGGCGGCTGACGCAGCGACTGGCGGCGCCAGGCCCGAGGCCTTGGTGGGCACGGCGTCCAGCGCCGCAAGCGCCGCGGCGTCCTCCTCCGCGCGCCGCTTCAGCTCGATGTTGCGCAGCGTGTTGTCCTGCTCCCGCGCCAGCTGCGCCTCGCGCATGACGTCGGCGTAGGTGCGGACCCGCGCGTCGGGGGTCTGGTCGCCCATATTAAAGGCGTCGTTGCGGTCGGGGGAAATGATGCGGTTGAGCCGGCGGCGAGAGTACTCACTCTCCCGGTCCACGATGCGGTTGGAGCCGCCAAAGGACCCAGCCTGCTTTGGGGGTCGGAGGGGAGGGGGGCGTGAGTGATGGTGAGGCAGGTGGGTGGCTCAGCGTCGCAGCCTTCAATGGAATACAAACCAGAGGAGGGGGGCCCACCGCCGTGACATCCTCTGTGCGTGTCGCTGGGCTCCCCTAAACCCAGTCGCCGCGCCAGCGACGCACCCAATACATCGGAAGACCCGGCCTGCAACATATTGGTGCAGTTTAAGGCCAGCCCTTGTGATGATCGACCCATCCGCACACACAGTCACTCCGTACCTGATCACCATCGTCGGACACGGGGATGTCGTTCAGCACCGATTTCGGGGCCGTATATGACGCCAGCTTCCTGTTAACAAGAAGATGTGAACACTGGCTGTAAAGAGGGCCCACCGGGTGCACACCACGACCCACAGACGGGACAGCAGTGGAGTTCACGGTCGCGCGCCCAGCCCCTGCAACCCCTCCACACTGACCGCAGGCCACTCACCCGGCCACCAGACGCTCCCTATCGTCCTGTTCATCCTCCTCCTCCATGGCGATTGAGGCCGTGTAGCCGTTTCCGCCCTCTGCTCCGCCATAGAGGTCTGCATCGAACACAGCCTTGCCGTGCAGGGGCACTGGCTCCTCGTTCGTCATGTACTACGGCTCCGCGGACACGAGGTCCCGGCCTGGGGAGGCAGGCCCGATGCAGGCAGACGTATCAGGAGATCGCTGGCTGGGAATCGGGCCAAAGAGAAGGGGCCTCCAGCAGCCAAGCCCTGGTCAGTGAGGCCGTGCTGGGGACTGCCGCACCGTAAATTGGCAATTGGTGAAGCAAAAGGACTCAAAGGTGAAGAGAAGGGCAGACACCCGACATCCGCGCGCTCAGGGACGGGCAGGAGGAGCTTGCTGGAGTGTAAGAAAGGAGGCCGGATAGCGAAAGGCCGTGGGGAGACGGTCGCGCGCGTGGGAGCCCTCCTCCCCGTCGATGGTTTGACGGCGCATGCGACGATGCGCATGTTGCATTAATATTTAATACAATCCCCGATACCAGCAGCCCCAAGATGTCGCTGTGTCGCACTGCACCGCAGCCCGGCGGTGTATGTGTCGGAGCCAGGCGCTCTGCCCAGAACGGCTGCTCCCCAGCAGGGCCACACAGCGCGTCGTACGGAGCGCCCAAGCCTGTATGGAGCAATATGTCTCGAGAGATGTGTGTACCTAGAGGGTCTGCAGGCCGGCAAGGTGCCTGGCATGTACAAGCCCATGCAGCCCCACAGGCCGGCCCACAAGGCCTAGCCAGTCCGTGAGTAGCAGGAGGGGCCCCTCGGACGTTGATTTGGGGGCGTGGAGTAGGTGAGGGAAGGGGTTGTGATATAAACCTGGTCCTGGAGCTAAAAAGCTCGCAATGCCCAGGGTACAGAGCAGTTACTGTCCTTCTCTCAGGCGGCCCAGACTTGCTTCATCATCACAAACCCGGCACTCCGCACCACTTAGCCTGCTCCCACCTCTGACACCCCTTCCCACTCAAACCCCTATTCCCCCCCAACCCTCAAGGCGTGTGATGCTGAAGATCAGCGGGGAGGCGCTGCAGGGCCCTGCCGGCTACGGCGTGGACCCGGCCATCCTCTCCGGCATCGCGCGCGATGTGGCGGCGGCCGTCGCGGCCGGCGTGCAGGTGGCGGTGGTCGTCGGCGGCGGCAACTTCTTCCGTGGCGTAGGGCGCTGGCCCGGGCTGGACCGCGCCAGCGCCGACTACGTGGGCATGCTGGCCACGGTGATGAACGCGGTGTGCCTGCAGAGCGCGCTGGAGGCGGAGGGCGTGCCCACCCGCGTGCAGACGGCCATCGAGATGCGGGAGATTGCAGAGCCCTACATCCGGCGTCGGGCGATGCGCCACCTGGAGCGTGGCCGCGTGGTCATCTTCGGTGCGGGAACGGGGAACCCTTTCTTCACCACCGACACCGCGGCAGCGCTGCGCGCCGCGGAGATCGGCGCGGGCGCGTTCCTTAAAGCCACGAAAGTGGACGGCGTGTACGACTGCGATCCAGCGCACCACGCGGGCGCCACGTTGCACCGCAGCCTCACCTTCCAGGAGGTGCTGCATGCCTCGCTGGCGGTGATGGATGGCACGGCCATCACGTTGTGCAAGGAGAACGACATCCCAGGTAGGGTGGGAAGGGGTGAGGGTAGAGAGGGTGGGTCATCATGAGACGGTGGTGTAGTATGGGGTGGGGGTGAATGGGTTTGTCGGCTGCGCATGAGACGATCAATGAGAACCAAGATCGTGTGCTGCAGCTCCAAGTCCGTGTTTCCCGCCGATTCTCCCCCCCACCCCTCTCCCAACTCCACCTCCGTTCCCCTGCTGCAGTGGTGGTCTTCAACCTAACCACACCGGGGACGATGCTCCAAGCCCTGCTGGGGGACTGGAGCGTGGGCACGGTCATCTCGAGCAGCAGGCAGGAGCAGGCCCAGCCGGCACCCACCGCGTGAGGGGCGATCAGGCCCCACCGTGGCTGGGCCTGCTGTATCAAACCTAGAGATAGTGTACTCAAAACAGTGGAAGCGGTCAGTGTTGTGTAAATCTGAGAGGGACACAGTGCGCAGCGGGGGGACCTAGGGCACGGGGTTACCAAAGTCTTGGCACCAGCTCATCAAGATTTCCCGTGATTTATTGTCGTCCACAAATCCCCAGGATTCGGCTGAAGCTTCGAGGAGACCCACGTACTCGGTGGTCTTGCATCATATCGAAACCGCGAGGGGAGGAATATACATTTAATCAGCATATTCTAGTTACAGAATACTGCACATCACGACTGAAACTCTGCATGGCCCAGGTCGTTGGGCTCCACATGAAAACGCTGCTGGCCACATATACCGGGCCCGCAACACGCACGGCATTTGCCACCGCTCCGTCATGTCCTTTTAGATATCTGGCCTTACATAGATCTGGCACAACGAGGCGAGCTAGGGCGTCGGTGCGGCCCATGTCGAGTACTGGCATCGCGGAAGTCGATGTGAAGGCGGCAGGCCTCGCTGCGACGTGTCCACGGGATGCCCTGATGGCCCGGTTAGCCAGCTTGGAGCGGTCCTTCGGCGCCCCACGTTTGAGCGTTGCCAAACGCAGCAGCGGAAAGGTGCCAAGATCTGCTTCCGGGCGCGCATTGTCCACTTCCCCCGGCTGGACGCCATCCACCAAACCCTTTGGTCGTCGACAGCCGCAGCGGCTCGCGAGGAGCCGCCCAACGCGCTCGTCCGGAGGCTCCCACTTCACATCCAACCTGCAGCTCTCCACCCCAGGCGATGGAAAGGAGGTATGAGTTGGCAGGGATTGGATGAGGGATGCTGGGGATTGTCTGCACTCAGGCCTGGTGAGGCACTGAAAGCAAAGCCATTCTGCACTTCCTCACTACACTCACCATCACACCAATCACGCAGCACCTCCCACGACTCAGCTTGGAGGAGGAGCGACAATTAGGCGAATGCATCCAGGCAGCAAGGCATCTCCTGGATGGCTCCTTGGACGGCCAAGAGGATGCCAGCCCACACGGTGCGCTGCTGCGTGAAGCACAGCTGGCAGAGCAGGTCCTGGTCACACGGAATGTTCGGCTGATATACCTGGTGGCCAAGCGTTTGAGGCATTACAGTGTGCACGCTGAGGTGAGCAAGGGTGTGCGGTGGGGCAGAGCAGCGTGCTATGTGTGCTACACCCCATCATGTTATCTGGCATATGCTCCGCAATCTGCTCGCACCAGGTGCACGCCAGTCTTCTTTTTGTAAAGATTGTTACGATCTTCTCCCGTGTATCTGCAGGATTTGTATGCTGAGGGCATGGTGGCGCTCCACAGGGCTGCCCGAGGATTCGACCCAGAGAAGGGTCATGCCTTCGCAACCTTTGCCATCCCTGTGCTGCATCGCCACCTGGAAAGGGCCGCGCAGTCCTTGTCTCGCTCCATCTACCTGCCATCTAGCCGCCTGATCCAGATAAAAAAGGCGAGGCTTCTTGAGTGGGAACTGCAATGACGTATGGAATGGTGTCACGGGAGTCCATGAGGGTGGGAAGTAAACCCATCCAAGCAATTTTAATCATCTCATACCGAACCCCCTCGCTGCAGCTGCGGTCGATGAGCTGGGCGCTGGAGACGCAGCTGGGTCGGCCCCCCACCGTGGCCGAGGTGGCAGAGGTCATGCAGTTGCCAGAGCAGAGCATCGTTGAGCTCCGAGCTGACGCCCAGGCGGCGGCCTCCCTAGAGCAGGCGGGGCAGGGCGAGGAGGACTCCTGGGTCAAAGAAGAGGTGCAGGCTCAGGGCCTTGACCCCAGCTCCCAGGCTGTCAGGGAGCTGCAGGGCATCTCCCTGCGCAGCCAGCTGGCGCACCTGCCCCCCGCTGAGTGTGCGGTGGTGCTGGCGCGACACGGCATGCTCGAGGAGGGTGGGCCCGGCATGACCTGGCAGGAGCTGGGGCGGTGGATGGGCGTGTCGGCCAACCGCACCCACCAGCTCCACACAGCAGCCATTGAAAAGCTGCGCAGAAACATGGTTGCAGACCAGCACTGAGTAGGATGCGATGATAGAACCATTCGAGGGCCCCCGGGCCCGAGATTTTATAGCTCGACCCTCCAACATCTTTCACTGAGTACTCTGTGATGCTGCTCTCGTCGAGAAGACAGACAGACTTGATCCCGTGTATTTATTCCTCCCCGCAGGCAGATGCACTGATGTAAACATTTCATTCCCAGTGAACACGTGTCAGAGTGAGATGGTGATACCAGCGTCAGGTCCAACAGGCAGTTGTCTCTACCCTCGTTGTTCAACCCTCGTACAGACCTCAACTTGACGTCTCTTCTGTGTGTCGGTGGTGAGTCGAGTGTATGATGGCTGTCTGGCTGGGGATTGGCTCATGAAAGGGAGCTTAAAGTGCTGTGCAGACATCTCCATGATCACCCTGCACAGGCTCAGACCGCGAATAACAACCACTGCACTCTGGGCAGCGCTGACCGGCAAGACTGGGACAGAGCGGACGAATCCGTTGTCAAACTGGCGGTGAGCTTCATGGCAGTCATCCAGCCAGGGGATTGCAGTTCAGGTTCGCCGATGACAGGTGTGAGCATCGAGGAAAAGAATGCGGAGGTAACAGTGCGCAAGGGCACAGTGCACAGCAAAGGGTTCTCTGGGTGCGAGGGTCACAGCTTGCGAGGCGCTTCTGGGACGGGGACAGGCATGCTGGTTGTATCCTGGGTGTCGGTGCCGGCCGGCCCCGCTTCCTGCAGAGGGATGGCGCTCATGCTTCCCTGCTCGGCGTTCCGGGCACACCCATCTGCCAGTTCAGGGTCCTGCGTGCCGGCACTCAGCTCCACCGTGGCCGAGGGCCCGCCTGCGTCGCTGCTGGGCCCGAGGGCGCCGAGATCCCCCTGCACCCCAGAGTCCGAGCGCGGCCGCTTGGCGGCCGGCTCCGCTGCGTCGACCTCGCCGCCCGCCGCGGCCACACTGCCCGGCCAGCAGCCGCCGAACATGGCGCCCGCCAGCCCCGGCGGGCAGGCGGCCAGCATCTCGCGCATGCCCGGGCCCAGCGCGGCGTCCGCCTCGCCACCGCCCGCGAGCGCAGCCGCCATGGCTGCCTGCCAGGCGGCGGCTACATCCCCCTCCGCCGCTGCAGCAGCACCTTGGCCGTCTCCCTTACCTTGACCCCCGCCCAGGCCAAGCGCTGCAAGGCGCAGGGCCTCCACGGAGCGCGGGGGCAGGCCGTGGAAGGCGGGGTAGGTCACCCCCGCGCGCAGGGCGCAGGAGGGGCAGCGGAAGTCCTCCGGCACCGCCTCGGCGCCGGCGCCCTCCTCGCCTGCCGGGCCGGGCAGGCCCACGCACTCGTAGTGGTACCAGTCGGAGCAGTGATCGCAGCCCAGCATGGGGCGCTGCTCGTCGTACGGCGCGCGGCACAGGCAGTACAGCTTGCCGCGCTCCGCCAGGTCCTCCGCCTCGCCAGGCACGCCCAGCGGCAGGCGCTCCGCCTCCAGGGTGAGGGCCGCGGCGGCGGCCGCAGCAGCCTCAAAGCCCTCGGCCTGACGGGTGACGGACGGGAATAGAAGAGTGGAGGGGTCCAACAGGTGGGCTGCCCGGAGAAAGGATCTTGATGGTGACATGCATGCCTGGAGGATTCTTCTCCAGCATCCCTATCACACTCGCCTCTACACCACTGCCCCTGCCATCATGTAAATCCCATCCTTGCACGCCCCATCAAGCAACCTGCACGGCATTCCCATCCCCCTTCCCGACCGCAAACGCACCGGGCTCGACGGCTGGAGGTGGGCGAGCACGGCCTTGGCTCGGCGCTGCCAGTCCCTGCACTGCGCGGCTGCCGCCGCGAGCCTGAACCCCACGATGTCGGTCTCGGAGACCACGCCGCAGCGCGCGGCCTCCGCCAGGAGCCTGGTCGCAGCTTCCATCGTTGGTTTCTCTGCTCGATACACGGGTGGGACGAGGGGTTGGCATGATGTACATTGCCGAGCGTAGGTGGCGCTGCAGCGTAGTACATTCAGCGCAAGAAAAAATCATCTGGGTCCATTGAAGTCCAGGGCTGTCCTGCCTGCCGCAGTGCCGATGCCGTTCCTTCCTCACCTGCGCTGCTCGCGCTCCACAGCGCCTCCACTTGGGTGCGCCAGCGGTTGCAGCGCAGCAGGCTCAGGATGCGCTCCGCAAACTCGGAGGCATCCAGCTCCATGGCCAGAGCTGCGGTTGAGAGAGTGAGGGGATGATGGAGATTTCTGAGGCCTCACGCCCGAGGGGCAGCGAGTGCTCGTCGGCCAAATTATCCGATGTAGCCCCATGCCCTGTTGCCTGCCACTGACAACCTTCTGCTGCCCCGTCTGCTGCCCCTTCCCCTGGCTCACCCGACTTGCACAGCTGGTGCAGCATGCCCTCAGACAAGGGGAGGATCTGGCCCCCCGTCTCCACCAGGCGCGAGGCGGCATGCACCTCCACGGCGCGATTGGTGGCCGTCTGCGAGGCAGAGTTTTGAGTGGGGAAGTAATGCGGGGGAAGGGTCGTGGGCGGCTGTACAACGGGATCACAGCAGCAGTCGCAGAGGAGCTGGAGGCAATGCACACGGCGGCATCATCTCATGTGCCATGCATCCACCCCGCTTCATCCTGGCTCCCTCCAAGCACCACTCACCGCCCAGCGGTCAAACTTGACCAACACCTTTTCGAGATCTTCCTCCTCCGCCAAGGACACTGGCAGGCCGCGAGCCTGGAGGGGAGGAGGAGTGGAGTGACCTCCATGAGTTCATGTGTGTTGCAAGTGTGAAGCTGGCCCTGGTGTGTTACCGTGCCAAGGCGAGGGGATGCCAGAGAGCCGCCTGTGCTCCCTCATGCATGCGCGAGAGACCATTTGGCCTTTCAGCCACCACTTGCCTGTTCAAGAAAAGCGCCCAGCCCGGCTCGGGTCGGCCGCCGCGTCTTCTTCAGCTTGGCCAGGGCGGCTTGCAGGGGCTCGCCGTTGTACTGCAGGGTGATGCGCCTCAGGAGCTCATGATGTAAAGAAACAACTTCCCATGTGCCCCAGCCATTATTGCTGGCGCTGGATCTTGTAGCACGACCTGCAAACATGCAGCCGCGCTCCACACAGGGCGACTTTTCCAGACCAGAGGCCCCCTCACTCACCCGCACGGCGGCGCAGACGGGGCAGGTGTACTTCTTGGTCACCTTGGCCTGGGTCTGGGAGATGCCGACGCAGCGCATGTGGAACCACTCCCCACACGAGTCGCACATGATCATGCCTGGAAGGGAGGAGGGGCGAAAAGGGTCAGGGGTGCTACATGGGAGCCAAGCACCTGCATATTACAGGGCCGGATCGCCCCCCTGAGGGTCATTCGCCGTGTTCATACTGTGCTCTGGCAGCAAGTGGCATGGAACATTGCATAACAACCCCCAAGCACCCCAAACTTAGGGAAACAGTGTGCCGCCGCACAACCACGCTCGGCATTCCCACTCACTGGTGTCCGCCTCGTAGGTCTGCTGGCACAGGCAATACAGCTCGCCCCCCTCGTCACTCCCCTCAGGCTCTGCGCCGCCCGTGGCCACCAGCTGCTTCTCGAGCTGGAGGAAACGATGGAAAAGAGAGCGAGATGAGCGGCGGGGGGGTAGGGACGTGGGCCTTGGGCATGCCCTTGCAGAGTCCGGGCCCTGGACTGTATGAGATATTCGCTTCTGCGATGTCAGGCAGCCCTCCAATTCCCCTCCTCTCCACCCCAACACACCGCTCCCAGGCACACCGCCCACACCAGTACCTCAAGGCGCCTCTCAAACTGCTCCACGGCGGCATCCACACTGCTGCCAATGGTTTCAAAGGTGCTGGCCAGGGTCAGGACCGAGTTCCGTTTCACAGTGCTCCTCCGGCACCGAGCCACCCAATCATCTGGCAAGCGAGAGCATGGGGTGCGAGGATGGGGCGAGGGGATTTTCGCAAATGACTCCCATCCCTCCTGGGCACCACACGCACACAGCCGTAGGGGCAGGTAGCTGCCTCATCAAGCCATCAGACCAAACCACCCGGCGCTCCACTTGCCAGCTGCCAGGACGGCGGCTTCGATGTGGCGCCGCAGGAGGGATGTCACCGGGGACGCCGCCGCCTCATCCCCGAGCTTGGCCAGGTCGGCATGGCAGGGGCGTGAATTGCCTGGGAGGTTTTTAGAAGGTTGGATGCTCCTCGGTGGGACGCGGGATGCGGCAGGTCTGTGCCACTCGAACGCACATTCGAGCCCCCATGTGGCTAGATCCAATCAGCCACCCCACCCAAGCTTTGTCTCTGTACTCCAGCAGGCAATGCAGCTCTGCACACCTCTTCCACCCCACCCCACCCCCCCAAAGACAAAGAAAAACCTACCGCAGGCATCACGCAGGGCCAGCACCCTGCCCTCCCAGGCCTGATGGTCTCGCAGCACGGCCTCCAGCTCAACGAGGTGGGCCTGGAGGAAGCCGAGCCCCGCGCCCTCGGCCAGCATCCGCTGCAGGGCGCCCGCCTCGACCGGGGCCGCGTCGCCGGACCCCGGGCGCCCGATGGCGAGCACGGCCTGCGCCTGCTCCTGCCACCGCAGCCCCACATTGACGTGCCTGGCGGGGGTGGAGGACAGGTGGGTGCTGGGGTTGGGGTAGCGTGGGCGGTGCAAGAGGGTAAGCATGGGAGAAGGGGCCCATTGGAGAGGTGGGGCTATGGCTGGCAAAGGGCAAGATGCAGGTAACATTGCATGTGAAGATCGGCTGGTTGGGTAGAGGAAGGCGCACTGTATAAGTAAAGGGTCAGCAGCGTAGAGGTGTACCTGGGTTTGACCCCTGCTAATTTCCTGGGCGTGCCAAAGCTGACACATGCTCATTATGTGCCACACAGGCGCCAGAGCCCCGCCTCACCTTTCGAGCTCAGAGAAGAGATTCTGTTCAACCGGGATGTCAGCGGCACCCTGCATCAGTGCCACCCCTACCTCGAGTGGGACCCTGGGAGGGAGGCAGTGGATTAGTGGATGCTGGTGGTGGCTCAACATTGCACTGCGCCACCAGCTGTATGTACTGGACCTTTGTGAATTGCCGGAGCTCGGCACACGGTGTGCACTCTCACTGCCATCTTGCGATGACACCGGGCTCCCGCACAATCCTGAACAGGGACCCGCCGGACACTCACCTGGCTGCCGGCAGCGCCTCGGGTGGGCCGACACCGTCTCCAGATGCTGCGTCGGCATCGCCCTGCATTGGTTCGGGCTTTACATACTGACCGGCATTGCTGAGGTCTGTCTCAGCTCCAGGCTCGCAAGGGCCCTCGCTGTGCACGTTTGGTGCCATCGCCGCCGGCCTTTCCACGCTTGAGGTCTTGCCCGGCAGGGAGGGCGGCTCATCGGCACTTGGCGCCGATGTGCTGGCATCTGCAGAAGACCGCACCCTCTCGTCCAAGGGGGCCTGCCCGAGGGTGGTTGGGAGATGGAATTCATCCACGTCGGCATTGCCGCCACTGCTGTGCTCAGCACCACGCTCTGTTGACTGCAGGCGGGCCAGCACCTCTCGCGCCTGTCGATTCCAGATCAGCCCCTGCTTTCAGGGAGGGAGAGTGATGGGATTGATGGTCAGGTAGCCCTAACCTTGCGTGCACTCGACTGTGCGCAATCGTCCTGCGCCTCAAGACCCAGAGCATAGGGTGCCAGCTCTGCTGCCGTCGCACGCGGTGAAGATTTGCGCCCACCTGATCGCCGTCTCCCTCCACTCACAATACCCCCCCCAACTCCGCTGCGTACCTTGGCCTGGGCCAACAAGTGATCCCGCTCCTCCATCTCCACATGGACGCCCGCGCCGGCGGCCAGCAGGGCCTGCAGCTCCTCCAGCTGGGCGTCGCCCACGCTTTCCAACTGCAGCATGGGCCAGGCCGCCTGCAGCCACGCCTCCGCATGCTGCTGCAGCGCCGCCAGGCCTGCCGAGAGGGTATGCGGTGTTCACGAAATGGAGGTGTCCTCGACGTGCGCCGGGCGGTGTTTCAAACCAGCGCGGCATGTGAGAGAAGAAGCCCTTGAGTGGCTCTCTTGGTGACATGGCATGCACATGGGCCAAAACTCAACCCACCAAAACCCAAACTCCCCTACGTACCCTTTGCCTCATCTGCCCGGATGAGCAGGCCCTCGTACTCCGCCAGCAGGCCGCGGATGGTGGCCAGGGTGGGCATGCGGCCGCCTTCCACCGCCCCGACCGGCGACCGGGGCCCAGCGTGGGCGCCAGCCCCGTCACCACTCGACCGCTTGCTGCTGCGCCTGCCGCTGTTTGCGGTGGAGGGCGGTGCTGCCTCCTCCATCGTTGCACCCATGCTTCCAGGCTGGGCCTGCGTCACGGCCTCGTCGTCGGCAGACGGCGCAGGAGCCGAGCCATCGAGCGGCATGTCTGCACCTGCACCAGCCGTGATTGCCTCGGGCGCTGCATCGCCCTGCTCCCCGGCGCTGGCCTCAGCGGGAGCAGGAGAGCCCTCCTTCTCCGCCACGGACTCGGCCTCCGCTTTGCCAGGTGTTTTCCCCCCCGCCGTGGCGCCTCCTCTGCTCTCTCCAGCAGGTTCTGGCAGCCAGCGCCGCGCCCGTGCCAGCCAGCCCTCCGCCGCCAGGAGCGCACCCTGCAGCGCGCTCCCCCTTTCCAGCTTGACTCCCAGCGCGCTGCCCCGCTCTACCATGGCCGCCAGGGGGCCGCGGTCGGGGCGCTGGTCTTCGCCGAGACCGGGCGCCTGGGCCGCTTCCAGGAAGGCCGCGGCCTCCCGGTCCCAGGCCTCGGCCGCGGCGATCTTTTCCCGCAGGCGCACGGCCAGCTCGCAGTCCCCGGCGCCCACGTCCTCGGCCTGGCCGTCCACCTCGTGCAGGGCGTGCAGGGAGTTGCGATTGTTGAGGGCGCGCCGGGCCGCGTCCTCCCACTCCCGCCTGTGAGTAGATAGGGGGTTGGGGCAGGATGGGGGGGGGGTTACGAGTGTATACAGGGGTGTGCAGCGCTGAGATGCAGAGTGCGAAACCGCCATGTCCAGACGCAGCAAAACCAAACCAGGTGGACCGACGGCGACCTGGCAGAGCACCGAGACAAGGAGTCCCACAGCAGCCCCATCACCTGCGGATGATGCCGCGCAGCTCCTCCACCTCCGGCAGCTCCACCGGGAGGCGCAGCCCGGCGTGCAGGGCGTCCCGCATCCTCTTCAGGGGCGCGCGCGCGGCCACCAGGGCATGCATGCTCGACTGCCAGGCCAGGCCCTTGGCGATGAGCGACTGGAGCAGGAGAGTGCGGGAGAATGAGCAGGGAATGAGGAGGTGATGGGTTTGAAGAGTCCGGCAACAGACAAATACCCCAGACCCCGTTCCTTCCTCACCTCGACGGTCTCCACCTCGGGCATGGCGGCCGGGAGCTCCCTGCTCTCCTCAATCAGTGCTCGCAGGTCCGCCAGCGGCGCCCGCATGCCCAGCAGCTGCTTCACCCGCCCCGCCCACGCCTCCAGCCGGTCAAGGGCGAAGCAGAGCACGGGGTAGAAGGGGACGTCACAGCGCAAGGTCACCGCGGCGGCGCGCAGCGCCTGCAGCCCCTCCAGCGTCGTCTCTGCCTCGCCCTTGCGGCGGCGGGGGCCGCCCGCCAGCCCCGGCAGAGCGGTGCGGATGGACTCGCCCAGCTTCCGGGCAGCAGCCAGGCGCTCCCGCAGCAGGCGCACCTCGGGCATGATCACTGGTGCACGTATGCGTTAGTGGGGAACAGGGTTGGGAGGAGCGGGCAATGGGGAGAGAAGAATTGCGCCTAGCGCCTGCGATCAACCCTCTGAATGCTCGACAGGGCTCTGGTCTGGCAGATATGCCACAGCATTTAACCCTCGTGCAGTGCATTGCAGGTAGCCGGCATTGCTGCAGAGCTCCAAGCCGGGCCTGCCCTGCCCTCCAACCCGCCATCCACCTTTCCCAACCTGAAATGGCGGCGCCATCGGAGATGAGCGCCTCCATGTCCTTCATCTCCATGCTGCCGCGAGCAGCCATGGCCGCCTGCAGGAAAGGGGCCACCCGAGGGATGAGAGGTTGGGGTAAGCACGAAACGACATGGGCAGCGGGAATTACTGGCTCATGATCCCAGCGCCAATGCACACTTTTGCTTTCGCAAAGCGACGACAGCACCCGGCACCTCACCGCCCGGCCCTCCACCCCACCCCCAACCTGCGTGCGCGCACGCCACTCTCGCGCCCGCTCCCCCAGCTCCTGCAGCCGCTCCAGGCCAGGCGCGGCGGCCAGGGGTGGCGGGTCCAGCCCCAGGATGCCCTCCAGCTCCTCCGCCGCCGGGCGGGAGGCCAGCGCGGCCTCGACCCTGGCCAGGTACGCCGCCGCTTCTCGGAGGTGCACGAACGTGGCCTCCACGCCGTTCTCGTCGTCCACTGTAAGATGATTTTGTGGGTGATTCTGTTTGTAGAATCAGATGATTATAGGCTATTGGAGATGAAAATGGAGGCCTCAGTGCACAGCCTCCCCGGAAACTTCCCACTTCGCGTTCTTTCGCCTCAGCCCTCTCCAGCCCCTGTACTTTCCTTCGCCCCCCCCTAAAAAACTCCACACACGCCCACCTGCGCCCCAGGCGTACTGCTTCCCCTCCTCCAGCAGCTCATCCAGATCAGCGGCCAGCCGTCCTCCCCGGGCCAGCGTCGCCTCGCAGCGCTCGCGCCAGAGCGCGTGCGCCTCGCCCAGCCGGGCGAGGCGCTCCTGCAGCGCCGCGGCCGCGCCGGGGGGCGCCAGCGAGGGCGTGGGTATCGTGGGCGGGGGAGCAGGGGTACTGGCAGTCGACGCAGATGCAGGGTCTGGGCACCCCCCCTCCCGTCCGCCGCCCGCTGCCCCGGCCAGCTCGGTCATGAAACCCGCCAGGCCGACCAGGTCGTCCTCCTCCCCCTCGCCCTCCTCCTGCGCGGCAGTGTCCTCGCCGCTCTGTGCCGCGTCGGCGCCCGCGAACCCCGCTTCGACAGCCCCATTACCCTCGTCCGCTGCGCGTCCGGCGACGCGCCCCACCACCCCCTCCAGCTCGCGCGTCGTGTGGCGGAAGGCCAGCCGCAGCCGCGCCGGCTCGCACTCGCACAGCGCGGCGACGTGCGCGGCGCAGACCTGGCGTCCGGGTGCGCAGCGCGGGCACTCCAGCGCGCTCAGCGTGCAGTGCGCGCCGCACAGCGCGCAGCGGGCCGCCTCGCCCTCCGCGCGGCGCGAGTCGGTCGTGCCTGCCGCCCACACCGCCAACCGCGTGGCCAGATCGTCGTCAATGCAGCGGCGCAGCTCCCGCGCCAGCCAGGGGCAGGCGCTGGCGGGCAGTGCGGGGTCCTCCGCCCACTGATGGATTTTGTTTTGGGGGGTGGGGTACGTGTGTGCTTTGTAACGATGGCCCACAGACGCATCCCTGGGCTGCTGGTCCGACCTTGCTGATGGCCGGGAGCTTGAGGTGCCCCTGCATTGCTGCAGATCCGCGACCCCAACACTGAAAGCGCACTGGTCCCTTCCAAGCTGCACCACCGGGGTCCAATCCCCTGGTCCTCCCAAAGAAATGAACGTCCCACAAAGAAGCACAGCAATCTCAAATTTCCCGCTCCCGCGGCAGGATGCCGACACACACACCTTGAGCAGGACCAGCTCGTGGGGCCAGGAGGTGGGCCGGCGCAGGCGGCGGCAGCGCTGCAGCCGCGCCGCGGCGTAGCGCAGGCTGTCGGGCGTGGCAAGGGCCGCGGTCTCGGACAGGTTGGTGCCGCAGGACAGAGAGGCCGCGTATGCCATGGGGAGGGTGACCACCACCTCGCCGGGGTCCTGACAGGGTGAGTGGCAGGAGGAGGGTGTGTAGACGTCGGGGCAGCTGGAGGGGGCACGGCAATCCACAATGGATTGCCTGTGCATCCTGGCTCTGCCGCACCCACCCCTTGCAACAGACCAAGCCCGTTCAGGATGAACACCCCTCTCTTGCAGGCGCTGACTGCCAGACCTGGGTGAGGCGCGCCACGGGCACGCCGCGTGCGACGAGCTGACGGGGGCTGGGCATGCACAGCGCGGCGTCCACCAGCCCCGGGCAGCAGGCGCAGGCCGCCGGCTGCAGCGCCCGGAAGGCCTCCTCAAACGCGCCCGCGGCGGCGGCGGGGACTCCGTACCTGGCAAGGCGAGCGAGGCAGGGCTTTGTCGAGGATTATGAGTGATGAGAGGCCGAGAGGATCCTGAAGTAGCCTGGGAAGTGCACAAACGACCAGCCGCGAGTTCTCACCACTGGCTTCCAGGAGAACGCAGGCAACCCCTGCCCGCAACAACCCGCGCCTCACCAGATCTTGGGCGCCCCCGACTTGAGGTACGAGAGGGAGTACAGGAGGTCTGGGTGGGCAGACCAGCAGGAGGAGGAGAAGACCATGCCGGCCTCCAGCCTTGGAGCCAGCGTTGCTGTGGGATGTGAGGGTGGAGTCAAGTGGGTTACACGCCACACCGTCGATCGATATGTGCTGGAACTTCCTGCCCAAGCAAAAGCGAGGCCATCGCTGTGGACCCTCCAGCCCCATCCAGTGGCAGACACCCGGCAGGAATCCACTCCTCCTCACCCCGTTCAGCCTCGTCCATGCATGCCAGGATTGAGCCTGGGCCAAGGTCGCAGAGGGTCCTAAGGTCGCTTGCCTCCTGGGACAGGGCCGTGGGGTCGGTGCTGCCATGCAGGACCTCCACTCGCTCGGTGCCCCCCTCCACAATCCCCCAGAACGCAGCCTCGACCTCGTGGGGTGGGCGCTCCTGTGAGCGTGGTAGGGCGTTGGTGAGCGTAGGAGGATGAATTCTGCACACGATCCATGCTGGCATGGGGCCTGCAGAGAGCAGCCTCACCTGCTTCCCGCCCCGGCCGAACCAGGCTGCTTCAAACTTTCTGGCGGCAGCCTCAAACTCGAGCAGAGTCAAGGATTTCCCAGCTTTGAAAGCACTTTTGGAGACCTCTGTTGGATGACTTTGAGAGATGGTCAAGTGGGTGAAGTATGAGACTCACCGTTGCTGACCCATAGGGGGGCCCAAGTTGGCGCTCAGCGATCAGGGGCCTGCCCTACGTGTCGGGCGGCCGGGATTCCGCGCGCGCGTCAACCCTCCGCATGCCAACCCGGACATCAGGGCGCAAACGCGACATCAGGGTGCCCGAAATGTCGCGAGATAACATGTTCGCCTCCCTTAAGTTATTCTCAAAAACCCAACGTCACCTTCGAGGATGCAACTGGGGCATATCCAGTCACCCACCGGGACACTGGAGAGTGGGGGCTCGAGGCACTGCAGATGCCAGCCCTTGTCGCATCGGTCGCAGAGGATAATGCGATCCTCCGCATGGCCCCCTCTGCAAGCCTCACAAACCATGGTGAAGATGTTCTGCGGGACCTTCCCTCCCGATGTGTCAGCCGAGAGCGATGGACTAGGCGAGGGCTCCTCCACCGCCTCCTGTGAACCTCGAGCGGGGATGAGGGTCGATGGCACAGCCTCGCCCTGAGACGATTGGGCGATACCAGAATTACCATGTCAAGGTTACAATTTGCCAACACCCCGACTGACACTCACCCCCGCGCTGATGATTTTCTTGGTGCCGACAGCCTTCGCTCCACTCGCCGGCGTGGTTCCAAGCAGGGCACCCAGTACCTCTGCTGCTGCTGTGGCATCGATCTCACCGCCACCGTCGTTCTCTACGCCATGCGCGTCCTCTGCATCCGAGCCATCGTCAAGGCCTGCAACTGCACGGGAAACGGCCGACCGTGGTGACTCCCGACCCAGCCACGCCCGGAATGCCCTCCGTGACCAGCATGAGCATCATCTGCGATTCCCATGCCCTGCACAATGCATCCAACAGCCCAACTGCATCACCCGTCGATGTCTCGGCGTACCGCGAAGGCAGGCGTCGCCCTCGTCCCCGCGGAGAGTGACGTTCTCGTAGGCCAGCAGGAGGTTTTCGTAGGCCGAGCGCAGGCCGAGAGCCGGGACTCCCAGGGATGCATCAATCTATGGTATCAGGAATGCCACCATGGGGTCATCGGGAGGGTCGAGAGGTCGTGGCGGGCAGGTGTGCGCCCCGATGATGGCGTCCGTCGGGGCATCCCTCACCCCCTCCCGCACCTCTAAACAAGCTGCTATCTCGCCCCAGCGGCAGTCTTGCTCCACAGAGTTCCAACCGCCGGCAGCAGTCACTCGCGTGAAGAGGTCATGGAGGTCCACCTCGTGCCCCGCCACCACAGGGTTGCGCCCTGGCCTCTGGCCCCTGGCCAAACAGAAGTCGGCGTAGCTGTCCCTCCAAATCCGGGCAACACCTTCAGTGGTCTTGTGCTGGAGGCGGGCCACAGCCTGCAGCTGGGAGCACAGTTGAAGGCTGGCAGGGTCGATGGGCGGAGCCCGTGGCCAGCACGCCGGAGGCCGGATCTTGGCCAGGCCCACCAGCCCCTCCGTCAAAGGGCGGACAACAGAGGCGATGTAGGCTGCCGGGTCCGTCCACTCCTCAGGACTGGGGTGGAAGACAGGGGCAGGGGGGAGGGGGGACCCCACCCCCCTGTCAGACAATTGCCCCATCTCAGCCCCTCTCCTCCATCATCGCATGGTTTTAGGATGTAAACTGATGCTAGGTGCAACTCATATTGTGCACATCCCTGGTAATGTGGGCCCACACTCCTAAGGGTGGGGTGCATCTGAAGGGGGCGAACAAGGGCGCGGAGTCGGGGTCCCGGCGTGAACTCATCGCATGGGCGCCGAAACCAAAACACAACCTACCTGAGGGCACGGGCAGGACGAGCAAGCAGAATACTCATTGTAAGCTTGTAGCGTGAATTTGTGCTCACAGGACGAGTTGTGTCCGTGCATGAGACCTCGCAGGCGCGCCGCAAGGCTGGTAGGGTTCCTGTGACCCTGCACAGGGCCAGCTTGCATGGCCTGCGCGCGACTCGCTGCCCTGCGTTCAGTCCTGCTCCGATCGATCGGAGCATCCCCACGGAAAATCATCTGGCCAGGTGGGCTGGTGGTTGTCACCGAGGGCGATGCACGGGCTCCGCCCCTAGGTCACTGCCCTGCGGAGACCCTTTTGTCAATCCGCATGTGGCTTGCCGGCACCAATGCCTTCCCCCTGTCCTCCCTTCCCAGCCACCTCTAGGCCTCATCCGGCGCTCGGCTTCTCATCTGCACCCAGACTGGTGGAGAGCAGCTCGAGCATGGCGGCTGCAGGGACGGAGGTGTCCTGTGGCCTCCTGGCCGGCCGCCACGATGCATACGATGGCATAATCCTGGACCCGGAGTCAATCCCACAGAGCCCCGCCACCTTCACCGAGGCGCTGCAGGTCTCCATGGCCGCGTGGAGGGGGGCCGGGGTCAAGGGCGTGTGGATGCGGCTGCCGCCCACCCACGCCCACTGCATCGGGCACGCCGTGGATGCCGGCTTCGAGTTCCACCATGCTGAGAAGGTGCGGGGGGTTGGCGGAGGATAATGCAAACACCCCATCACCAACTGCTGCACGGCTGGAGTCAGAGATATATTATGCATATGATGTCCACCATCCCCGAATCCTTGCCTCCCAGGAGTATGTCATGCTGACCTGCTGGCTACCCAGGGATGTCCCCTCCCCCCTCCCGCCCAATGCCTCCCATCAAGTGGGGGTAGGGGCTTTTGTGGTGAATGAAAAGCGGGAGGTGCTGGTGGTCCAGGAGAGACTGGGCCCGCTACGAGGAAAGGGCGTCTGGAAGCTGCCCACAGGTCCGATGAAGGGGGATGCTGGTGCAGAGGAACGACAGGGTTGGGGAGAGGATGTGCTGCAAACTTTCCATGCACTGTGAGTTTGGAGCTTGAGACCGGATTGCACATCCACTATTGATGAATTCTGTCTACACGTAGGTCCTTAGCTGTGCCAGTGGGTTCCTGATGCTCTCACTCACCAGCCCTGCCGATACCTCCTGACAGGACTCGTGATTGCTGGCGAGGACATCACCGAAGCTGCTGAGAGGGAGGTCGGTGAGGAGACCGGTATCAAGGCCAAGTACGTTTCCCAAGCACCATTGGTCACATGTTCCAGCTTGGAGGGGAGTCACCTCCTGGGGGCTTTGATAAACGACGGCAGTGGTGGAATGTTGCACAGCAGGCACAGGCACAGACGACCTGCCCTCGCTGCTTGGAACCGACAGGTTTGACGCAGTGCTGGCCATGCGCCAGGCGCATGGCGTCGCCTTTGGCAAGAGCGACATGTTTTTCCTGATGGCCCTGAAGCCGGAGCCAGGCCAGGAGGTGAGTGATGCCGGGAGGCATGGTGTGCCCGGCAGTTTGGCTGATGGGCAGGGTTCGGGATGCTCACTTGCAGCCTTTGCGGGCATGTGCTGTTTGAAGCGACGCCCAGCAGCCGCCGTGCCTGCTTCAGGTGCACCATCGCTGTGATGAGTGAACCCCGTGCTCGCCACGGCCAACATCTCGTGTCAGCCCTGCCTCTGATCCACCCCCGCCAACGAGCAGAAGGTCAGCTTTCAGGCCGCCGAGCTGGAGTGCGCTGCCTGGATGCCTTTGGATGACTACGTCGCGCTCCCCACCCACACCCCCCTCAACCTGCGTCTCATGAACTCCTGCCTGGCGTACCTGGACGGAAGTTACCGGGGACTCTGGGCCCGGAGAGTCCAGTCAGGGTTCAAAGCCACGCAAGACCTCCTCATGTTTGGGGAGCAGAGCCTGAGTGGCGGCAGGGACGAAGACGCATGGCTGGGCCTGGTCAAATGAGGGAGGTGTCGGCGGGTTGTAATCAAGCAGCATTGACAAGGGTGTTGCATCATTTCAGAGAGTTTGACAATGAGGGCCACTATGCAGCCAATGCATTTGCTGCATAAGGAGGGCATCAACAGATGCCCTACAGCTCGATGTCGCAAGCATGTCGCTCCTTCCAGCAGAGTTTGTATGACTGGCAGCTACTGCCTGTTCTCGCTGTAGATTGCAGTGGGCAGACGGCATGTCGGGCATGCGCGCGCCCTGGATCGCCTGCCCTGGGCAGCAGTCCCCTTCATTATGTCCAGGCACGGTGAAGGCAGTGCATGAGTGATCAACAAAACGCCTCGTCGCATGCATTCCAGCAAGATTGGAGCTTCATACAGTCCAGGGCCTCGTGCTATTCAAACGTTTCGACACTCGATCACTCTGGCGTCCTGCTACTTGCACTTCCGGAACTCTATCTGAATATTAATAATTCTAAAAGTAGCTATCTCATTACGATTTTGTAATCGTTGGAGATCCCGAGTCCCAATCCCGGGCACAAGGTGCTGCACCCTGCTCTGCACCACGACCCCTCGGGGCCATGGCCTCGCCCATGGTGGTGGACTTGGGCAGCCACGCCATCAAGGCCGGGCGGTCTGTGGGGTACCCCAGCGACACCGAGCCCAGCGTGGTACGAGGGCATCCATGCATGAGATGGGTGAGGCGGGCACGCTGTTCAGGGGTGCCTGTAAGCGAAAGCTAGCCATCCCCACCCCCCCTCCTCCATCGCCTCCAGGTCCTGCCCTGCACGGTCCAGGACTCACGTGTGACGGTCGTTGAAAAGCTGGTGCACCCCATGCACGCTGGGGTGGTGACGGACTGGGAGGGCCTGGAGACCCTGCTCCATTACACCCTGTTTGAGGAGGTGAGTGGGGCGGAGGAGCAGCCCCGCAGGGGGTAGGAATACAAAGCATGCACAGGCCCTTATGGTTCCTTTCCATGCCTGCCGGGGTGCTCAGTGGGTGGCAACCTTCTGGCTTGCTCCCTAGGCTGCCCTTCCCCTGGCCGCCCACCATCCATCGCACCCACAACACACACGCCGCAGCTTGGCTGGGCCCCAGAGCAGGAGGGCCAGCTGCTGGTGGCGGACCCCGTGCTTTCCTCCCGCTCCGACCGCGAGCGCCTGTGCCAGCTTGCCTTTGAGGGCCTGGGCGTGCGTGGGCTGTTTGTCGCAGACCAGGGGGTGCTGTCCCTCTATGCCGCCGGCAAGACCTCGGGCCTGGTGGTGGACTACGGCCTGGACAAGACAGGCGCGTGGATCGGTGGCTGGCTGGGTATTCTTGGGAGGGAGAGGGAGGTGGGGTATCTTCAACTGGGAAAGGAATGGAGGCTGTGGGCAGCTGCCACCCCCTCCCTGTCTCAG